AACTGTCTAAAGACATTAGATCTCTCAAAACTCGATATGATGGCAATTATTACGATAAAGGAAGTCATGTACTATTGAAATTGCAACTAATATTGATTTTTTAAGCTCCTGTTGTTTTTCTAAATAAAAGTTTTTATCTGATTTTAAAACAAGAGCTTCTGGATGGCTTTGAAAATGAATATTGCCATGTCTATCTTCAATTGCTTTTATCATTCCATCATTTGAAAATCCTACGACTTTATATCCTAGTGATTCTAATTTTTTTCTATTTTTAAGACTGTTATTTATTGCTTCTGCATGAGTATCAGGAAAATATGTTGAGAACCATCCGTTTTCATCCGGCATTAAAAACTTAGATACTATTTCTGCCAAGCGACTATTTGGTACGATTTTTATTTGTTGAAGCGTTGTGTTTTCTTGTTGTGGATTATTTAAGTAAGATTTATGTTGTTTTTCATCATCAAAAAAATGCACTATCTCAACTCCTTGTGCATTCATAATACCCTGCAAACCACTACATATACCAAGTAGATGGATTGAAGGATTATCATCTACTATTTTTACAATTGCTTCAGTTACGAGCTGGTAATAAGCAGTAGAGGGGAGAGGTAAGTTATCAGGAATAAAGATTCTATTTATATTTTGCTCTTTGATAAATTTTTCAACTTCAATTTTTATTCGATTTAACGTTAGTTTTTGTGCCAGTCTTATATCTTGTTTTGCAAAGTGAAGAGATTCTTCATTAATTTTTTCTAGGTTAATTAATTTGTTATAATCAATCAGTACAGTTTTAACTTTAAAGTTATTAAACATCTCATAGATGTCTTGAGATACATGCGTTTGCTCTGCTTTAAGCAACCCAACAATAATACTACTACTTTCCATACCTGTATCATTTACAATAGACCTCTTGCGAAATTCAATTTCTGATGGCAATTTTGTTGTCAAAGCTGAGCTACACTCCTCAAATACATCTGAGTATTCTGCAGTGCTCGCTTGCACTTCTTCTAAATATTTCTCACCATAAATCAACTTTGAAAAAGGTATAGTGGAATGTGCATAAATAAAGTTACTATTAAATAGCAAGATTATTAATAGTAATTTAAATATTTTATGACAATACTTATAAGTATAAATCATGTAAAATTTCATTAATGCAA